ACAAAAAAAAACCAAAAAACAAAAAAATTCAAAACAAACCAGACGTCCACTGAAAAACAAAGATTGTAAGAATAACCCATTGCGTGGATCCCACTCACTTCGTCTCCCGGGTTGACGAGCCCCTGTATGACGCAGTAGAGGGAGCCGTAGGCCCCGACGGTCACCAGAACTTCTGTCATAGGGTCTACTGGACGGCCGAGGTGTGGCTCGTAGATCTTGGCGAGGGCATTCACCAGGCGTGGTAAACCCTGCAACATATGCACACAAATAAACAAACACATGAGATATAATGTTCACACATATTTGTTTTTGCTCTTTGTTTTTGTTTGAGTAAAGAAAAGCACATAGACACAAGAATGACCATTTTGTGCTAGGAAAAAGTAAGACAGACAGAAACAACAGAGAAGCGCATCCGACACAATAATGGCCATTTAGTGCTAGGACAGACAGACAGAAAGAAACAAAAGAGGGAATGTAAAGAACTAGGACCTACCCTCAAACCACCCAATCACTTATTCACACACCATGATATTTACATATAGATCACGATGGAAAAACAATCAATCACAAAACACACTTGGTAACATTTTCGTACTACAGGCAATGTTCAGACGTAGAAGGAATAAGTGCATTTGCATATTTTTATAGCTTTATATGATGGCTTGAAACAAGTTAGTAGTTGGGGAGGGAGAGAACACTGAATATGTGAGAGAAGGAGAAAAAACAAAACAAAAGCAAACCAAATCTTATTTCAACATTCTCCCTCAAACAACATAGAATTTCATTAACTCCTCCAAGCAAAAATAAACAAATCTTAATACTTATTCAACATTTCCCCTCAAACATTGCCTCCCAACCCACTCAAAAACATAAGATGGGTCATCATTTAAAACACCTCCCCTCAAACTTTACCTTTACCAGTAAACCAAATTGTATAACTATTTCAACATTCTCCCTCAGCATATTCCACTTACAAAACTGCGGGCATACTGGTGAGTCATGAGATCAGAGCTGCTGACCACTTCCTTCAAACAGTTGACAATGTCTGCCGGAGCCATGAAGTCAGGGAAACCTTGACCCAGATTCAGAGCCTTGTTCTCCACAGCCATCTTGGAGATGTCCACCCTGGGAACAGAAAAATAGTAAGAACAAATTATGAAAAATATTGTGAGTATACAGAGCACAGAAATTATAAACACATTACTGTAAATTAATGTGAGTGAAGAGGGAACGTTTAAATAAGTAACCAACATTCAATTTTCATATTAATTTTAAGTAGACAAATAATTTACATATATCAAAAGGAACTATTCATTCTGATATCAAATTTATTGCAATAGGATGGTATTTAAGGATTATGATGAGCAGATTTTCACTACACTAACTTTTTGTTCACAAGTGAGTTAATTATCCTAATTTTTGCCACGACCACCCGCCATTGTGTACCTAAGGAAATTTGAATAAATTGTGTAAATTGATGGGAGTAAAGAGGGGAGTTAATAATATCATAAATAAATTGACTAATTAATGTGAGTAATTCGGGGACAAGTTGTGTTTGTTACACTGGTGCCCTTGTATGATATTCTGCCCCCCCC